GAGGGTGAATCTTGATCTAATAATGAAAAGGCTACCAGAAAATGGATAAAAACCGACCTGTATGAGACCCTTTACTCGCCAAACGTTATGCTTCAAAACCACAATATGCGGATCATCGGGGTGCATAGAATGCAGCTCCTGTCTCACAGACTCGAAGCAAGCATTATGCTCTGCCGAGAGTTGAATAGCAAGCACTTCTCCTGTGGCCTTGACAAGCCTCCCTAGGACAGCACGAGAATCTCCGAGATTAGCGATATAAAGAATCCCACCGCAGATTATTCCAACAAGGCAGCAAGATCCAACGGCTGCAATCTGTGGTTTCATGGGCCATTGTCTGCTCACAACTGAGAGAAACCCATCTTCAGTTGCTTGAAATGCCTTTCGAATGACCTCCACTGACATAGATTGATGCTCTGCTGTGAACCCTGCACCAATTTCACCTCTAAGAAATCAAAACCACCAATCCTAACCAACTACATGATATATTACATGAAGATCCAAAATAGGAGGTTTTTTTAGTGTTTGTGTTATAAAATAATTTGTGTTAAGCTGTAATCTCAAAAGCATCTCTTCATCAACTTTTTGGAGCTAAAAGTTGCATTGGACATTTGTGCTCTTGTTATTTTTATCAAAATCCAGTTTCATATATAAGGACAAAATCTAAGATACTTTTTACCAAAAAAAAGAAAATCGAAAATTAAACACGTCAACTTATAAATCGACGGCTTAAAGTTTGATGTTTCAAGACAACTGCAAACACCCTCAGATTTCAGAAATAAGCAATCATTCCAAACTTCACACATAACCACCAACACCTATTCTTTTTCAAAAGCATTTTGAAGAACACCACCTTATAATGGATACATATCATTCATCAGTTTCAAGTTTTCACATCAACATACTAAATGAATCAATTTATCCTACAAAAAATAAATAAAAATAAAATTATACGGACTTACTCTTTAGATGTTGAAAGAGCTGATCATTGATGAAACGAGAGGTCTCGGGACCACCATGCCCATCATAAACCCCAACAAAAGTGCCGTACGGACCAGAGTCACTAGTACTCAAAGAACCAGACTCGAGCTGGCTCTGATCCTCTAGTAAATTATTTGCTTGAACTACAGCCATGGAGAAATCTCCATTGGAATGCTGCCCTGCGTCTTTATACCACAGAAGCCCATCTTTACGGCCACTAGAATCCGAACCAGTGTGAACACTCCGATCCGCCCTCGGCCGAAAACAGGCCGTCAGAAAGTCCATCAGCCCTGATAACATACCTCATCTCATCCAAAACACCCTCCAAAGTATCATGTAATGGCCACTTGAGGTAACTTTAGCATACATGAAATCAGAAGCTTATGTGTGCCCTGATATTTGACTGTATATAAACCCCTAAAACCAACAGAGAATTAGAAGTTGAAGGAAAAAATAAATTCAATTCCTCTACGAAAATGATAAGCAGTGGAAGTAAGCAAAAATTAGGTGTTCGATTATTAGTCCAATAAATGTAATATGGTTGTAAAATAGATCTCTGACCATGACCAAGACAAATCAATACCAGAGAAGATGGTCAAAATTCAGTTCATCTTTGTCAAATTCTACCAAAACAAAAATAGAATTAAAAAAATAAAATTAAACTACTGAAAGCATAAGAAATTCAAACACTACAAATTTTCCAAATAAAAAGCAACCGCATAGTGAAATGGTGCTGTTAAATATGCTACAGTAGTTTACCTTTACAGCAGATTGAGAGGAAGAAAGATCTGGAAATGAAGGAAAACTTTAGATCTGTGGATCAATCAAATCAGAAGGATTTTTTTAACCAAAAAACAAAATCGAAGAGATAAAATAAGCAACAAACTCGAAATGTTCTCTCTCTCTCTTAATTTTGTTTGTGCGCAATTACAAGTACAAGAAGATGATGATGAAGTATTTGAAGAAGAAGGAAAAACTCAGAAATGGGGGAGAGAGAAAACAGAGCTGCAAAACAGAAATTATCGATGAGAGAGAGAGAGAAGAAACAGTAGAGAGAGAGAGAGAGAGAGAGAGAGTTGGTATTTGAATTAGAATTACAGTAGTGCAATGGTGGTGTTTGATTGGGGCAACTGAAACTGTGGTATATCTCAGCAGACAAACACCATTAAAAACCAACAATCGAGAGCTTCGATCCAGCAAAGCAGAGGACCAGTTTTGGGCTCCACGCCCTCTCTCTCTCCCTTTCTCTCTCTTCCAGATACAGAAAATCTAGAGAGAGAAACTATAAATAATTATACCTACCATCTCCATTATGGAAAGAGATAGCTAGCTAGGAGCACAAGAAAAATAAAATTAAACATTTTAAAACCAAATTCCCCTTCATTTATATTTATTTTAATTATTTAATAAATAAATAAATATAAAAATAATACAGTAGTATTTTTTTCTAGTTCTAGCGTATAAACACGTAAATGAATAATTGTCAATGAAGTTGAATAATTACCATTTAGCATGGGTTTTTCATGCTACTACCAGCCTTTTACTATGCGACACGTGGAAACATACGTGTGATCAAATATATATATTTTTCATCTTACAAAATCAAATATCTAAATAAATTATTAAATTAAAAAAAAATGGTGAAATAAAAGGATATTGCGTAAACATGAATGGGTAAGTATGGCCACCAGCTCAGTGTGAGCTTTTTGTGCTTGGACTTTTTTTGATTACTCAGCCGTCCTTTAATTGCATTTCCTCAGCTTCAATCAATGCTTTCTTTATGAACTCTCACTTGAAACTATTTTTTTTTTTAATTCTTTTATTGCCAAAATAAAATAATAAAACAACTCAAATTTAAGTGAGTGGTTACTTTGAATTACACTAATTACCGCTCTTGGTAATTACTTTTTTTGCAATTATCATTTAAAATGTTGCCTAAATTCGTATTGCTAGATGTTAAATGCTCCCACCACTACATGTACAGTTGATAAAGACCTATATGTTTGGTTGCAAAAAATAATAATAAATTTTAGGGTTAAATACAGTTTGCATCCCTAAAGTATACCCCCTGTAGCACTTACCCCTTAAAGTATTATTTGTAATACTTACCCCTCAAGCACACTTTAATTTGTATTTTAAATTTGAACACCTTAAAAATATTATTTTATTGAAAGGAATAACTAAAAGAATAATTAAATTATACAACTAAAAATATCTGTTGAAAATACAATATTTCAAAATTTAAAAATATTATCTTGCGTTGGATATTTATTCAATAAATAACATCTAATTGTTGTTGGACCAATTAATCAAAAATACTCTATCGATAAATTTTAAGAAATCAATACATAACTAATAGAAATCTTAAGTATTTAAATTTATTTTAGTTCATTAATTTTTTTAAATATATTTTCATTCATTGTTACCCAATATATATTACTTTTTAAATTTTTTTCAATAATTGATTTTAGTTACTTTTCAATTTTCTATGAACCATTAATTATTAGATTGTTATGTTTATTATTTTTTAAATTTTAAAATATAAAATAATTAATGTGGAGGGGGTAAGTGTTACAAATGATACTTTAAGAAGGTAAATGTTACATGAGCTATACTTCAGGGGTGCAAAGTGTATTTAGCCCTAAATTTATTATAATTATAAAATGACAGATAATATAAAGAAAAGAAATTGAAAAGACATTTAATTAGAAACGTAATAAGTTTACTGTAATACGAAGTACGAACCATTGTTTTCATTTAAGAAAAACAATTAGAATGAAATCAATTTATTGGAGGTTTTCTGTTGCATATGTCATTTGGTCATTAGTGCAATAATTAATCTTGGGTGGAAGCCATTTTAAGGTTTCGTAATCCTAATTTTAAGAAAATCTTTGCTAAAACCAAATTATCATTACTTTTTGTGATAATCTCACTACATTGATTTCTTATGCATGATTGATAGATGTGACTTGTGATTAGGTGCAAACGAATTAAGTTGATTCGACTTATTAATAATCTAATTGACCTTAAATAAATTTTATTAAAAAAAACATCATTAACTTTTACTAATTCGGTGGAGTTATTATAGAGGAGTTTAAAAGTTACTCAATGACTCTTATTTTCTACCATAGTTCCAATATTTTTACCCCATTTGAAAAGATAATTAAACATTTAGAAATAGTAAGTGAAATTCCTTGATTATCGTGTTCTTTTACTTATATATATAATGACGGTGGGTCAGTTTAACAAGATTGGGCCAAACTTCTCACATCGGGCATATTGACAATGTCAGGACGAAAACATATGGGCCAATATGGATGTATGGAGCCTAGAAACTCAGTGTACATCGAATACATGGCCTCTTTAGAAGTTCAGCGGAAGAAAGATCGTTAGTATCAAGCTCGTCAAACGATGAATCTAGGATACGCGGTTAACAGGCTTGCCAACCCATCCGAACATGCAAGAGACGATCAATGGAGTAGGTAACGAGCTGAATAAGAGTTGTCGGAAAAAGAAAATTCAAAAATATAATGCCTAAATAAATAAGAAAAATACGTAAATTAAGATTAATAATTTAGCAATTAATGTAAATCACGAGTAATAAACACACTTTTTATACTCTCTTGAATTGTCCTTTCTCTTTTTACATTTTTCGTTTGCTTGTTTATCACCGCGGGCCCTACATCCAGCGTCGAGTGAACTTTCCGACGATCGATGTGCAAATTTTGCTCCATCACATATACATGTATAAGCTTTACTTATGTTCAAGATCAGTATTAATAAAGTTGAGTATAATATTTAAGCAAAATCGAAACGACAAAAACAAAAACATAATTAGAAGGACAAGACCGAAATCGAACATCATAGAAAAAATGTGGAGTATTCAAAATTCAAGTTGTGAGTAGTAATAATGTTTTATGGTAATCAGTCAGCATCGAATTTATTCAGCCCCACTGTATCTGAGTGGACAGTGTTCTATTGTTGGCTAAACTCTTCTACATATATATTCCTCAAGTTCAATTAAATGCCCAACTTCACCAAACACGCTTTCTCTTTTTACTTTTATTATTTACTTTTTTTTTTTACCTCCATATATTTATCACATTTTAAATTTCTAAATTATTAAAGATAATGTAATAATGTAATGGTCATTTATAAGGATATTTTTTTTTAAATACCCAAAATATCTTGGAGCATTACTTTTTTCTTTTGGTTTATCTTCTCACAAGTCATAATAAAATCAAGTGCTAAAATCGATTTATGCATTATTATTTCACATTAAATCAATTAATTATTTGTAATAGTAAGATTTTTTTTCGTTATTATTTTTATACGAAGATAGGAAAATTTGGGTAAAAAAAAATGCAACACTTGCGAGTTGCGTTGAGTGGGATTGAAGTAAACGTTGCACCCTTGAAATATAGTTTTTTTTGGCACTTTGCATTCTCAAAACAAAAATTATAGCACTTTGCACCCTCGAAACACAATGAATCATGCATAATGCACCCCACCAATAGCAATTTAATGTATTTTGAGGGAGAAAGATGCTATTAATTTTTTTCAAGGGTGCAAAATGCCAAAATGCCACATTTCATGGTGTAAACTGTAAAGTAGGATTAAACCATTATTTTGTTTAATAAAAATTATTATCCAATGAGTAAGTTAAGATAATATTATTAATATATTTTGGGGACAAAAAAAAATAATAATTGGTATTTAATAAAATCAAAATAAAATACAAACACATACCTAACAACAAGTGTATTTCAGCAAGTCCACTAAATAAGTGCCCCATTCTTCTGATTGGACTGTTACCAAATTCTACACACAGTTACCTATTTATCTTAGCCCTTCCTATTTGTGGCTTCCATTATTTTTCTATACTTCCTCATCCTCTACATAAATCTATTTAATCAATATTCAAAATTTAGAATAAAGAAAATCTTTAGGACATTGTTAAATCTAGATAAATAAAGAATAATTGGATCTTGATTTTAATTTGATTAGTGAAATATTTTTTTGAGAGCCCACTCAAAAGAACTAATACTTATCTTGATTTATTAGATAATTTCTATCAATTATTTTACTATTTATAGGATCTCAAGTGCTACCAGCATTTCTAAAATCAATCGGTCGTCAAGCAATATTATACTTCCTACACAACATTTATTAGAAATCGACAATCAATATCTAGGAAAAAAAGGGCTCATGGGACCTTGATAAATTTTGGAAAATAGACAATGATTTTTTATTTTATTTTATTTTTTGATTATATTATTAAAAAAAAAAAAAAAACGCACGACCGAGAGATCATGTATTGGGGGTTGCCCTTATCTTAACCACCACCTAGAAATGGACTCACAAGGATAATGTTGTTCTACCTGAATCTATGACAACTCTTTTCTTCATTATTAATCAAATAAACTATGGACTTGGTCTTTATTTATATGCTGCATTTATTACATGGAGCCCCTTTTTATTCATTATTATTATTATTATTAGGTTAATACAAGGGTAAATAGTAGTAACACACATCAAATAATAAATAGTTTGAAATGATTATCCAACTCAGAATCAATAATTCATTAAAAAAGAAATTGAGAGTATACAGCTTCAAATTAGAATAATCAAGAAAAAAAAACCCTATAGCTATAATGCATTTAATAACTCCTAATCCATTACATCATATGCTTCTTTAGGCAAACTCAATTGATTCATTACCATAAATATAAAACGGAAATGCTATTTGCGGTCACAAAATTGCTATTCGCGGTTTTTAACAAAACCCCCCAAAACTTTTAAAAATATCAAAAAATCCCCCAAAACTGCAAATAGTAAAAAAAAAGAAAAAAAAAAATTTGAAAATTCGAAATCAAGCTTGAAGAAGGGTTGGGCTTCGATTTTTTGATGTAATTTCGACTCTTTTATGTGTAATATGCATTGGGTAGGTCGATTACGGAACCAATTTCATGTTAAAAAGCCCTACAAATCGATTTGTAGGGCTTTTTTCTTCGCAAAAAAATGGTCAAACGCCCAAGATGGGCGTTCGAACATTTAAAAAAAAAAAAAAAAAAAAAAAAATTTTTGCATTGGACGCCCAACTCGGGTGCCCAAATGCAGCTTGCACGCCCAACTTGGGCGTGCACTGCATGAATGGGCGCCCAAGTTGGGCTTTTACGTGTTTTGGGTGGGTTTTTTGGATTTTTTTGGAAAGTTTTGGGGTTTTAGTGAAATAAAGTGTTTTTTGGGGGGTTTTGTTAAAAACCGCAAATAGCAATTTTCAAACCGCAAAAAGCAATCAACGGAAATTATTATATGATGCAGGAAACTTCTATGTTCTATGCACACACGTTTCCACATTTCGGAAATTGAAATGCCATTACAGGAAACATTTTGGGTCGTTTTCGTATAATATTTCAAAGTTTTGGGGTCATTTCCATAAATATTTAAAAGTTTTGGGGTTTTTGTAGATATTTAAAAGTTTTGGGGTTGTTTTCGTAAATATTTAAAAGTTTCCAAAAAAAGAAAATAAAAAATCCTTTTCTCTTCAAATGGTGTTTTAATATTTTTTTAGATGCTGATTTCATACTAAAATAAATTTATATGCCCCAAATGTAATATGTAGAATGATAATTCGGATTGGAAATTGTAAATTATATATAATTTGTAGATACAAATATGTAATTGACCGATAAATATGTAAGCTAAACGTTTTAATAATCTTTACACGTTTCTCCCATATTCTCGTATCCCACTTTTTGAAAAATAGAGTTTCACACTGTCTGTTTCCCCATTACATCGTGTTCGCGTTCTCGTATCCATATTGCACAATCTAAAATATATGAAGACTTGAACCTAACTTTGAAAATAGCGAATTAGTTATATTAGTTAATCCAATATGGTATTTGAGGTTAGGAATTAACCGCGTATTGATTTGATTGAGTGTGACTTAAATTGGTTAAGGCCGTCCTAAGAATGATTTTCACCAATAATAATATATAAAGATATATATAAAATTGAAATTAAGAGAAACCTAATAATTAATATATAATGTATATAGTACCCTATGTAAATGGGATCAATTTAATATTTAATTATATGTAACATCAGTTTGACCAGTGATAAATTATAATGCAATAAAACTGACCTTTCTGGTCAAATAAAAAGCCCCAGTTTCTTGCATATCAACTGATAGCTACTCTTTACCAAGCAACCCTTCATATATTGTCTTGTTTCTATAATAAACTATTAATAATTTAATTTTATTTCTAGAAAAATAGTCACATAAAAACGTTTATATACACTTTTTTTTTTTTTACATTTCCATCATCACTTGCGTCAGTGTGCAATTATTTATTTTATTTTGTATTCTAGAACCTCGTTCCTGTTAATAAAAATCATTAAATTATATTCAATAATTAAGGATAGGCAGGGTGTTTTTATGTAATTTAGCCTAACTTCAGGGGTTTTACGTAATTTATCCTTGTTATTTTATTATGCACATGTGATGCATAACAAAAATATATCGAAAAAGAAAGAAAAAAAACTCGTATGCAACTACGTAATGTTCAAGTTCAACTATGAACTGGTAAAATAGTTATCGAAATTTCAAAAAAATAATACTATTTTGGCCCCATATACAATATATAAAATCCACTAATTAATTGTTCAAGGGCCAACTGTCATTTTAATTTATCCAAAATCAGACCCTTCAATTTCATTGTCTAAAAGTCATCATACTCATGCATTATTAATTAAAATACGATGTCATGTAATGTAACTATCACATGAAATTTGTATTTTTTGATATTAATTGTGTATGGAAATTTTATAAAATAGTCAAAGTACTTAAACTATATTATACGATAGGGATTGCGAAATATACAATGAATCTCATTTTTCATTTATCAATAAATTTAGTCTATTAGTATTTACACCTCATAAACTTGACTATGTGTAATCTCATTGTCGATGTGTATTTATCCAATACAGGTTTTACATATTTATGTGTGTGATTGTGTGTTAATGAGATAATATGTTAACTAAATGGGCTTTTTTTATATAGGAAAACAATTTGTTTCATATTAAATTAAAACCCATAAGTTCATTGAAGAGCCCAACCCGATAAAAAAGCCCGTAAATTAGCCCACTTATAGGGCTAATTAATAGGAGAGAAACACAAATTAAACCTTTATAATTAGGCTAAATGTTACGTAGCAACTCTCCTAACGAGGGTTGATTTGTTGCTTTCGGACTACTGTTTCAAATATTGCGTACACTAAAAGAATTTATAAATTTGAAAGCAAAATTTGTTTTCATTTTGGAAAACACTGTTCTCTCTTAAAAATAAATTAATATTGAAAGCTACTAAAATATAGGATAAATTAAGGCCACTCCTCTAAAGTAAGGTCAAATTACAGAAAAATCCCTTCATGTTTGGGTTATTACAAGTACCCCCAGTTATGAATTTTCTTATAGGTCCACCATTATGGTGTCGAATTCAACATAATCTTCTAGATTTCGTGGAATGTTCTCTAGTTTGTACTCGTTTTGTGCAAAAAATGCAGTTTCAAAAAAACCACAATCTGATATTTACATGCCAAGAGAACATCTTATGATCATCTTGTTTCAACATGTGGAGCTCGAATGGGGTCAAACGAGTACAAAATGAAGAAAATTGCACATAATTTAGAATATTCTAGCGAGTACAAAATGAAGAATATTCCACATAATTTAGAATATTCTACTAAATTTGACACTGCAAGAGTCAACGTGTAAAAAAATTCATAGTTGAGGGAATGGTTGTAATTACCCTAACATGGAGTTTTTTTTTCTTCATAATTTGACCTTACATGAGGGGGTGACCGTATTTTACCCCAAGATATATTTGGAGTGAATTTTGGGCCACATGAATTCAGACCTAAATACTCATCAGGACGAGTATGGTTAATTAGGTGAGCCCAATAATGTTTGGGCCGAACTGTGTTATATCATTTATTTTAAGGATTAATTTCTAAATTCTAATTAATATTTAACTATACTTTAAAAAGACAAGAAAGCCCCTAAACCCACCGTGATAGCCTGTAGGCGGCGCGTGATGATACCACACCACGGAACATTTCCTCTGAACACTATATATAAACATTTGTTCCACGACTATTAGAATAAACGAAGAGAGCCGCTCGTTTTCTCATTAATTTTTCTTTTTTTTTTTTTCCATTTTCAATCGATCAATTTTGCGCCTTGAGCTCGATTTCAGAGGTGATTGTTAACATTCTTCTCCCCATTCCCCCAATTGATCTGTGCTATCCATTAATTTATCATATCCGCTGCGTTTTCAAATTGCAACAATTTCGTTTTATGTATTTTCGCATATTCATTTGACTCGTGTAGGTACCAATTTATTTTGATCTTGTTTTTTTTTTTTTTTTTTTTTTTTTTGGGAAATTTATTTCTCAGCTTCTTCTCTAGCTGTAACGAGTTTCATTGGATGATGAGTTTTGAGCTGGCTTAGGGATTTTTTTTTTTCAGTGTTACTATTTATCTTTTTAGTTGCTTTCCTAAATCTGCAATTTAGATTTGAACAGAAATTTCTGTTGTGCTTTATTGGATGATGCTTTGTGAAGGTTTAGTTGAAATTAGATGGATATTAGGGTTATGGATGTTCTGTATATGCATGCATTGAGTTTTCGTTTTCCTTTTGAGATGGGACTAAGTTTCTAATCTGGAAATGGTGTTCAAGAGAAAGAGATTGTAATATTACTTTCACAATGAATCAGATGCCCTCTTAGTAGGAAAAAGAATCACTCAGTGATTTTTTTGCTACTCAAGAAACGTAAAAAGGTTTCCGTATAGTACTGTTTTTGACCCATCGATCGATGTAGGGCAGCTATTATATGTATCTATTTGGTGATTTTTAAACTGGTATCTTCTGTGATTCACAGGTCACGATGGATTCTGAAACTGTCACCTCAAAACAAGGTGATTCGTCTTCAAACGGGGTTAATCTAGATCCAAACTCAAGCCACGGAGATAAACCTGGCGATATTCTGAAGAATTTACAGAACGTCTCGTACATTTACAGACAAGATGTCGTGAGAAACAAAACCGACACTGAGATTGGAATAGTGACCGAAGTTGCTGGAGATTCGGATTCTGATAGCTCTGATGATGATGATGAAGATGAAGATGATGAAGAAGATGAAGATGACGAAAAAGAAGATGGTGCTGGTTCGAACGATGAAGGTGCAGTAGACAACAATGGTGAAAATGCTGCTGAAAATAACGATGAAAATGACTACAAGCACACCCCACTTACCGTCGACCAACTTAGAGTGTTTTGGATGAACGGTTCAGAAACAACTGAAAGCACTAATGACGTGAAAGTTGTGGATAGAGGGTTTCTACACGGCGACTATGTTTCTTCAGCCTCTGATCCAATGGGTCAAATAGGTATCGTGGTTGATGTTAATATCAATGTTGATTTATTAGCACATGATGGAACTATACTAGAAGATAAACCGTCTAAAGAGTTGAGGCGCATTAGGGATTTCACTGTGGGCGATCATGTTGTACTTGGTCCATGGCTCGGTAGGATCGAAGACGTTTTCGATAATGTAACTGTTCAGCTTGATGATGGTTCTGTGTGCAAAGTAATGAAAGCCGACCCGTTGCATCTTAAACCGGTCGGAAAGAACATTATCGAAGACGGGCATTTTCCGTATTATCCAGGCCAGCGTGTGAAGGCAACTTCTTCGTCTGTTTTCAAGAATTCGAGATGGCTGTCTGGATTATGGAAAGCTAACCGTTTGGAAGGGACAGTGACTAAAGTTACTGTAGGGTCGGTTTTGATATACTGGATTGCTTCGGCTGGATATGGGCCTGATTCCGCTACTACACCAGATGAAGAGCAGACTCCGAAGAATTTAAAGCTATTGTCTTGTTTCGCGCACACAAATTGGCAGTTGGGTGATTGGTGTTTACCTCCTTCATGCTTAGAGTCATCCTCATTCACACTGTTAAATAAGGAAGTATCAAAACCAGTTTCTACTAAGGAAGAACATGACTCCACTACTGAAAATGGCGATGATTCTGATGCAGAAGTGGCATCCATGGAGAACGATTCAGACGCTTCCTTGAACAAAACTGGTGGAATACCAGATCACAACACACCTGCAGAAAGATCATGCAATACTTCAGTGCCCCTTCACCGTAAAAAGATCCGTAAAGTGGTGGTGAAAAAGGAAAAGAAAGTCCGTAAGAAAGTCGAAAACTTCGAAAGAGCCCTTTTAATCATCAACACCAAGACAAAAGTCGATGTCGCCTGGCAGGATGGGACGATAAAACGGGGCCTGGATTCGACTTCTTTAATTCCCATTGACAGTCCTGGTGACCACGAATTTGTTGCGGAACAGTACGTAGTGGAGAAGGCTGTTGACAGTGACGACCCTACTGAGACAAGACGTGTGGGTGTTGTGAAAAGTGTCAATGCGAAAGATCGAACGGCTAATATTCGGTGGTTGAAGCCCGTTTTGAGGGCAGATGACCCTAGAGAATTTGATCAGGAAGAAGTGGTGAGTGTTTATGAGCTGGAAGGACATCCTGACTATGATTATTGTTATGGAGACGTAGTTGTTAGGCTGTCTCCTATTTCTTTACCAGCCGATATGGATTCTGTTTCACACTCTGTCGAAAATACACCCGAACATGAAAAGGGGGAGCAAAATGAAAAGGATAATACACAAGACACGTCCAATGAGTTTTCGGATTTGTCTTGGGTAGGGAATATCACAGCGCTGAAAGATGGTGATATAGAAGTTACTTGGGCGGATGGGATGGTATCCACGGTAGTTATTCTGCAGCCATCATATATATATATATATATATATATATATATATATATATATATATATATATATATATATATATATATATATATATGTTAATTTGGATTTTATTGTAAACTCTGTTGTTGTTATATCAGGTTGGTCCTCAAGCAATATATGTCGTTGGTCGAGATGATGATGAATCAGTTGCAGGTGGAAGTGATGACAGTGATGATGCAGCTAGCTGGGAAACTGTGGAAGATGACATGGATAGTGTCGGTAATATTCAGGAGGTAAAAAAATTGGCTAATAGAACAGTATATTTTTTTACGCTCAATTAATTCAGGCTTTCTTGTTTGGTGTTTTGGATTATCGTGGAGTTCAATTTATCGGATTGTAAATTATTTGTTGAAAGAAAAAATTCAGTCTTTCTTCTCAACTATTACATCATTATTATTTAAATCCTTTGTATTGAGCTTATGTGAGATGCTTTATGGTGAATTTGTGGATTTGATGCATATTTTATCTATTTGAATAAGCAACTTGAGAGGTTTAATTCAGTTACTTAGCAGTTAGCACATGATTGTAATACACCTTTCTCTTGCAGAATATATTTGTCTAATTTGTTTGATAAAATTGTGAATACGCATTGAATTTAGGGCAATGGGGAGGACAATGCCGGTGAAATCCAGGCCGGGATTGAAGATGAGAATCCCGTTGCAGAAAATTCCGGAATGAATGGAGCACTCTCGATTCCACTTGCTGCAATCGGTTTCATGACCAGACTAGCATCCGGAATATTCTCAAGGGGACAAAAGCACTCGGATTTGAACTCAGATATCAACGGTGAAGAAGATGGTGGGTCCAGCTCCGAGGAACCTAATAATATTGAATATCGACTTTCTAAGCTAACTACTAATTGTAAAGGGGAGGAAAATGATAATGCTGAGTCCTCCGATTTGTTAGAAATTGCCGAGACTCTGTGCAACTTAAAACCACCAGAATCAAATGCTCCTCCACTTGAAGAAGAGCTTAATTCGGCATTCAAAGGCTTCGATATTGTTCAAGATCCTTCAGACCATTACTTTCTTGGTTCACAGAGACAGGTTTTTGTCCTTTCTTTTTTTACCTACAAATGTTGTTTCCCAAATTCTTTAGGAATCTGAGTAGTAACTGAGCGTTTGCGTAAATATTTACAGGCCAATGCTGCCAGGAAATGGCTGAAGAAAGTTCAACAAGATTGGGACATTCTACAAAATAACCTGCCCGGTATGCTCGAGTCATTTTTTTTCTAATTCTCTTACATGTTAATTCTTGTTTTGAAACATATTAGGAGATGTTTTTTAAAAGCTGTAGTAATGTAATGTGAACAGATGGTATATATGTGCGTGTCTATGAAGATAGAATGGATCTTTTGAGGGCTGTGATAGTTGGAGCTTACGGCACACCTTACCAAGATGGACTTTTCTTCTTCGATTTTCTTCTTCCACCAGACTATCCAGATGTTCCACCTGTATGAAAACTTCAATATATTAATTTTTTATTTAATTTAATTTTATTAAATTCTTAAACTAAATTTACTGTCTCATGTTTCTAGTCGGCGTACTATTACTCTGGAGGGTGGCGAATAAATCCAAACTTATACGAGGAAGGAAAAGTTTGTCTTAGTCTTTTGAATACGTGGACAGGCAGAGGAAACGAGGTTTGGGATCCTTCAACATCGAGCATTCTTCAAGTTCTCGTTTCACTTCAAGGGCTTGTACTAAATTCCAAGCCATACTTCAACGAAGCTGGATATGATAAGCAAGTTGGCACAGCTGAAGGGGAGAAAAATTCATTGTCGTACAATGAAAATACGTTTTTGTTGAACTGTAAGACAATGATGTATCTGATCCGAAAGCCCCCAAAGGTGATTAAATAATATTTTTCTCAACATTTTCTTTTTGGGGTGGATTGTTTTTCTGAGGGCCTAAATTTTCAGATATGTTTTGCTGAAGTAAAATTATCCATGGATCTAAATTTGCAGGATTTTGAAGAACTTGTGATCGAGCATTTCAAGAAGAGGGGTCTTTATATTCTCAAGGCATGTGATGCTTATATGAAAGGACACCTCATCGGTTCGCTCGCAAAAGATGCTTCGACCAATGATATTAATACCGACTCAAATTCAGTTGGTTTCAAGCTTATGCTTAATAAAGTTGCACCGAAACTTTTCTCTGCTTTACAAGGAATCGGAGCAAACTGCCACGAATTTGAGCATCTAAATCCGGTACAGTTGTAGCAATGGTCTGAAAGTATTACTCGAAGAAAGCAAATCTTCGAGGATTAATTGAAATTCTGGTCTCGGCATGGAGGCGTGTTTTCTTATTTGGGATATGTTGATATACCATATTCTAATGCTCGTTTTTGGGGTCTAAAAATCTGGTTTAATTACAACTATTATAATCATTTAATTGTAAAATTTTTTGAACTGACAATACAGAAACATGAGCAGTTTATGGAGATCTTGTGATGGTTCTGGCAGGATATCTCTTCATGCTTTCATTTTCTATAAACATTTTTTAATTGTTATATTTTTTCGAGGGCTATGTATGTCCTTGTGCTGCAAAATCTTGGTCGGGCAGTCGATATTTTTGTTTAGAGTAGATCGATGAAATTTGTTGTTGTATTCATTTGGATTGTAGTTTTGTTGAACGTATTATTACAGGCAATGTTTGGACAAGAATTTAAATTTTGGAGTCACTTATTTGAGTAGATATTTTCTTTGTCAAATCCTTAGTGATGTTTGTTGTTTGTTTGCACTTCAATTCGGTTATTACCTACATTGGCTAACTAAGGAAAATTAAATTACTGCATCCATTGGAAAGTTGTTGTGACAAAATCGAAACTACAAAAGTTCTCCATTCGACAGATATTTCGGTATAGAAAAAGAGTATTAATCTGAACAAAGTAATCACCACTAAAATATAAACGAACAGTAAAATACATTTCTCCAATACTTTCTCAAAACACCTTCCTCTGAAAACAAAATAAAAATTCATCCTCAAAATGCTTCGATACATAGCCTGATAGTCGAGCTTCAGAAGTACAAGTAACAAAATCAAGAAAATCTGTACGAGCTCTTAATTACTTCGGTCGGATGATTTGAAAGCCAAAGAATGCAACTAAATTCAAGCCAAATATATTCAGGGGCAGACATTTTTCTTAAAGAATCGACACTGTTAGCAATAACCATGAAAATGACTCGACTACGACATATATCAATTCATGGGAAAAAGCAAGGAGCTTTGACAGAGTTAAAACCGAGAGAGAACCTCCCGATTATTATCATCTGCATAGCCCTTCATTTATCAAATAACAAACCCCAAACAAGAAAACAGCTAATAATTCGCATTGCGATCATAATAAAACAATGACAACTAAAGCAAATGCAAGCGAAATATTCATCGATGAACAATACCAAACATATTGAAATTGAACCCCAACATAGATCAAAATTCATTGAAGAATAAAGTATATTCCCATTCATCAACACACTTCAACTCCACATTATGCAATGGGAAAAACGAAAGATGCAACAGCACGAACATTGTGCTAAAAAAGTTGTATATTTTCTACAAAAGAAGCATGTAATTTGCTTGGTACACAATGTACTTTCCATTAGCAAAGATTTAGGTCTAAAATCTTAAGTATGAATTAAGATTTACGAACCCGTTAATCCCTGCTTTCGTTCCAAATTTGCACAATTAAGTGTTAGCTTGAAGCTGCTGAATTTTATTTTAAGAGCAAAAAAAAACTCAAAATAAATTAACAGAGAAAAACTAAGCAATCACAGTCTCACACGTTCTTAATAAGATTTCTCTTAGCAAGGAACCTCGCCAAAGGCGGTGTAATCGCTAACGTGATCGGAACCCTAACCGGAAAAAGCGCCTTATTAAGCAGCACCGCCAAAGCCAAAGCACCGCCGCTCGACGCCGCCAGCTCAGTCGTCCGATTCTTCTCCTTCTCCACCGTCAGATCGCTTCTAAATCCCGAATTGGATCCAACGGTCGTCCCGAGATCTTCCGATAGCAGATCAGCGGGGGCGGGGGTGGTTTCCTTCTCCTTGACGAGGCTAGGCATGCCGAACTTTTCAAGCATCGATTCAACGTCGACGTTGCTCTTGATGGCGACGTAAAGTCCGGTGACGGAGGCGGCGGAGACTGCGAAATGTACGCCCAATCCTACTTTACCGTATTTTTTTAACAGCTCTTTAAACTTTGCGGCCATTTTTTCACAGCTCACGCGAAATTCGTGCTGTAGAGATGTACAGATTAACAGGATTAGAGCGAGAATGTTAGAAATGAGTTCACAATTGTGAGGTTTTTGGCTAGGGTTTAGACGAGAATTATTCAATTGTTCTTGCTGGATAAATGTGTAATTGGGCCTTATGTATATTCTGATGCAGTTCATATTTGGGCTCTAGCCCTTAACACTATAAACAATCATATTTAGGGGATATTTTTTTTTTTTTTTTTTGTTTTATCATGGAATTGCCGAGTGAGTCAGATCTATTGTTATATCATACCGTACCGAATTTCTACTAAAACTTTCTAACAACTGTTAATAGTAAATTATAGGGCTGGGACTTTGGGATCGGGATTCGGGATCCCGTCCCGTCCCGATTAGAATTTTACTATTTGGGATTAAAATTTCGGGAATTCGGGATCGGGATTAGGAACAAATACGGGATCGGGATTCGGGAATTGGTTCAATCCCGATCGGGATATTTTAATCCCGAATTAGGAAAAAAGAAAAAAAAACTAATAAAAACACACACACACACACACACACACACACACACACATATATATATATATATATATATATAAATATATATATATATATATATATATATATATATTTGTCAAGGAGATGAGAAATAACAATATAATATATCGTTTCAACTTATTTTTAAATTTTTCAAATTTCATTTGTCCCAAGTTTTGTGGTAAAAATAAATAGTGCAATAATAATAGTATGTATATAATATATTCAAGTTGGTTTAATGTATAAAATAATACTAATGGAAAAAAAAAAAAACAATATTTCTTAGTTTTTAGGCAAAATATGGGATTCCCGATCCCAATCCCGAATTCCCGAAATATTTAGGGATACCGATATTACCGGGATTTAATATTATGGGACGGGATTGGGATTTAAAATTTCTATCCCGAATCCCGAAATCCCGATCCCGAAAATCCCGAATTCCCGAAATCCCATCCCGAACTCACCCCTAGTAAATTATCATACCATACTTGCAACGATGCCGATACCAAAACCATTACCATGATACTGTCCTAGCATATTGAAATATTATTGATACCAAGCCTATAAACCACTTTTGAACCACTTTTGACTGGAGATGCTATAACGATCTCAAACAAAGCCTACATATAAATAAAAGGTAAATTACAACCACCCCTTAGGTATGGTTAATTTACGAAAAAACCCCTTTTGTTTGGAGAATTACATCTATCTCTCAACTATGATTTTTTCTTACATCTCCACCCTTATGGTGCCAAATTTAACATAATCATTTAGATTTGGTGGAATTTGCTCTAGTTTGTACTCGTTTTGTGTAAAAATACAGTTTCTGATGCACCACAATCTGATATATACAAGCTAATACATATTATGATCATCTTGATTCAAAATGTAGAGTTCGAATGGGATAAACGGGTACAAAGGTGATAACATTCCATATAATCTCGAAGATTCCACTAAATTTGAAACCGCAAGGGTGGACGTGTGAAAAGATTTATAGTTGAGGGGTGGACCGGGTGGTTGTTATTACCCAAACATGAGGGGTTTTTTGTAATTTGACCATACCTCAAGGGGGTGATTGTAATTTACCCTATAAATAAATAAAGAGTATATACGGTCACCCCCTTAAGGTAAAGTCAAATTACGGAGAAAAAACCCTACTGTTTGGGAAATTACAATTACCCCGTCAACTATGAATCTTTTTACATGTCCACCCTTATTGGTGTCAAATTCAACATAATCTTTTAGATTACGTGGTGTTCTCTAATTTGTGCTCGTTTTGTGCAGAAAATACAGTTTCTGATGCACCACAATTTGATATTTACAAGAAACACATCTTATGATCTTCTTGTTTTAAAATGTGAAGCTCGAATATGGTAAAATAAATACAAACTGGATAAAATTTTACTAAATTTCGCAAGAATGGACGTGTAAAAAATCATTATCGAGGGATAGTTGTAATTATCCAAATATAAGGGGTTTTCGTAATTTAATTTTATTTCAGTGGATGGCCGTAATTTACCCAATAAAGAAATAACCACTATCGTTTATTGGGCCTTATAGACTAGCTAATGAGCCAGGTTGGACCAATGCAATCATCGCTTTATTTGTCCAATATCCGGCCCAATAACAGTATATAAAGAAATAAAAAAAATTCGATCTTTTTAGCGTTTTAGGTTCCTAATCAAATAAAATCGAACAATTTTGTTCGAGAAATATCCCCAATTCGTTTCTTACAATACAAGCCCTAGTCCTCCCAATTCACTTGTTGGATTCGCAGGTATCATCGCTTTCTCGTTTGGATCTCATTATGCTGCTGCAATTTCATCGATTAATGGTTTTAGCTAGGGTTTAATTGATTAAATTATTTGTGTTTTTTTTCCCTCTAGGTATTTATATTTCATTACGGTCTAGGGTTCATAAGATCGAAGAGGTATGGGTGAAGAAAGGAGGGTGCACCCAGATTGCAGAAACGCACCAAACCTTTATCATGAATGCAGTGAATATTGCTTCAAAATTATTGCTGAGGCGAAGAAAAAGGCGAATCAATTTGATGCGGGTTGGTTTTTTTCGTTGCTTTAGCTAACTGTTATTTCAGTATTATTTTAGCTGAATCTAATAAAAGGCTGAATAATTAATTTTTTTTGCAAGTTAACATGAGCTGAATTACTGAACAATTTTAATCTGCTGAAACAAATAAAAGGATTAGTAGTATTTCCAACTAATTTTTTCCTTGCTTATACTATGTTTAGTGATAATTTTCTTAATTTGTATTTTATATAATTCTTTTTACTGGTGCTAGGTTCCGAGGCTGCCGTACATAATGTAGAGCCAGATATAGCAGCAGATTCCAATCAAAGAGAATCTGCTAATGCTGAAATAAACGACCGTGAGGACCATTCTGAAGAAGAAGCTGCCATTAATGGTGAAGATGCAGCCACCACTTTGGCTAATCTGACAGGGCGGCAAAAGAGGTTATTTGAATTGAGAATGAAGATGGTAAGGACTGTTTCATAATGCTCTTCGTAATGGATAATTGATTCTGTGTGTATTATTCGTATTCTTACCCCACTTGTTGTTACTATGTAGAACGAGGCAAAAAAAGCCAATCAGACTGCGATGGTGAACGAGAAGAAGAAATTGGAAGGTCCGGTAGAGTCTAGAGGGATTTCGAAGCAAAAATGGCTGGAGGAAAGGAAGAAGAAAATAGGAAAACTTTTAGATGCAAATGGATTAGATATGAGCAAGGCGTATATGCTCGATACACAAGAGATGGCAGAGTCCAAGTACAAGAAATGGGAGAAGGATCCTGCTCCTGCTGGTTGGGATGGTAAGTCACATATATTTCTTTTACTTGTTTGTATTTGACTCGTTTTAAATTATTTAGAATAAAATTATTTATTAAACTGTGATTAATGCAATGTTTTCTGATCCCTTAATGGTTTTCTGCTGTCGTGTTTTTATTGTGTGAACTACCTGCACCCCCAATCCGTGTAAGTATTAGGACCCTATCATATGGTTTCAACTCAATAATAGTACCTTCAAGAATGAATAGGATGGGGTTTTTTTTAATATACACTCTGTTAGCATCAATAAGAGTGCTTTCAAGAATGATTTTAGGACGGATTTTTTAATATACACTCGGGTTAGCATCAATAAGAGTACTTTCATGAATGAATTTGGGAAGGGTTTTTTAATAGAAACTCGATTAGCATGGGTTTGGTAGACAGGCGTTAAAGAGTAACACCGCTTTATGAGGGAAGAAGAAAGCTTCAAGAAAGCCACTTAGCAACCCAGTGAACCGTTCCACTAGTATTTGTATTCACAGATTCTATGGAAGAACGGGTGTTCCTTTTGGACAACCCATTGTAATAGAAAAATCCATATGAAGTACTTCAAGTTAATCCAAGTTAATGCTAAAACACGAGCATTAGAATTGACAACACTTGTATTTCAATGCTGAAATTAATGTTAGACATTGAAAACTCTTGGCTTATTTATTTCTATAGTAAGTAACAACTTCCATTTCATCAGCCAAAAAAATGTATTTATTACTTTGTTTATCCTCAACGGACGTTGTTTTAGAAAACCGAATCCATATTTAATTTATTTTCCAGCCTTAGAAGTTATATTTCTGTGTTTCATTCGTCCTTTTTTCATATTTGTTACAGTTTTCAATCAGAAGACCTTGTATGAAGCACACAAGAAAAGAACAAAAAAGATTAATTTAGACCATGACGAGTACAATAGAATGAAAGAAGCTGATCCAGAATTCTACCGAGGGGCATCGAGTCTTCAATATGGAAAAGTAAGCATTACTATATACTTGCTATTTCATCCCTCGGTTCATTACATCTTAGTATCAATTGTCTGAAATTGATTTTTTCACATTGTTTGTAATTTAAAACAGGCACCAAAAACCTCAGACGAGCAAATTGACAGAATGGTCAAAGAGCTAAAGGACAGGGAGGATAAATCGAGGTCCTTTAGTAGGAGGAGGAAATTCCGTGAAGAAAAGGATATCGATTCAATCAATGACCGTAATGAACATTTCAATAAAAAGATCGAACGAGCCTTTGGCAAGTACACTTTGGAGATCAAGAACAATCTCGAGAGAGGAACTGCTTTGCCTGATTGAGTAGGTATGTAATCTGCTACATCGCTGCTCCACTGAACTGTTGTACGTCTTATATAGTGCACCGCTACTTTGGCTCTTTATTTCCGTAGAAACTTCGATGCTGATGAAATTGGTTTTAGTTTTCTTGATACATAATGTGTAAAATTATCATTGTCACTTGTCGTGTTCACGTATGTCCTTTTTTTTTCCCTCCCTTTTTTCAGTGTGTGCCGTTGAAAAAAACGTTTTGGAATCTTTTTTTAAGAGGTTAAGTAAAATGTGCGTCGTTAGCAAGGGACGTCTTGAAGAATGAGATATGATGATTGAGCAAATTTCATTTTTTTTTTCTTTTCCGGATTGTCATTTTCTTTTTACTAATAACGAATTGAATAGGTCGCTGCAAAATGAATAATACAGAGATTAACTTTTTGAAATTACATGACTTGTAATAGAGTACAAATTGCATTATAAAAGAAAATTAATTTGAATTAAAATCAAGCAAATCTTTAAACTTATATCATACTAAAGTTGAAAAACTACTCATCGCCTACAATCACTGGATGACCTTTTCCCCACCATAAAAAAAATTAAGACACCTTTCCAGATTTTTGGTTGGGCTATCATCATATTATGCTAGCATCTTTCACCTGATCCTTAACTGACACGTGGCTTGTTCTCAGCCATTGGATTAGAGTATCCCATGATGTCGTTTTGATGGATGAGATTGGTGGGTGTATTGCAGCAGCTAGTAAGTACATCCATCCAACAATTTCACTGTGCTATCTGAATATTTCAGTTGGTTGGTTCAAATTTTGACCAAGAAGAAAAGCTGTCCAATATAATTTGTGTTTTGCGAAACCAACAAATTCATTTTTAATGTAAATTTATTAAGATGATTTATGTGTTATAGAATTACTGCATATCCAATGGTTTGATTGTTAATATAGATTATATATACCATAATTTACATTCTAAAATAAAAGAATTATTTAGTACTGTACGAAAAGAGCAGAGAAGAAAATAAATGATAATTCACAATAAATAAACATTCTCCTCTCATTACACACACACATACAGAAGCCAACAAAATAGAGATTAATAATTGACAAGCGACAACAATAATAATTAACAACAGACTAAATCAAATATTCACTTTAGTTGGTTTGGTTGCTCCTGAAGGAACCCAAAGCCTTAATGGCGGCGGCTCTCAATATATACTGGTGGTACGCCGCCGCAGCCAGCGCTCCCACAAATGGCCCCACCCAGAATATCCACTGGTCATCCCACACTTTGCCGTTGTTGAAGATGACGGCAGCCCCGAAGCTCCGGGCAGGGTTTATTCCAGTTCCGGTGATGGGTATGGTTGCCAAATGAACCATGAATACTGCAAATCCTATCGGGAGTGGAGCCAATACCTATATTTACAAAAATAAAGGAATATTCTGTTAATTAGTTTAACAATTTAACGGAGGAGGAGGAGCCAAAACCCTACACAAGAAAAGAAAAGAATATTCCGTTAGCTGAAGTATTACCGGCACGTGAGAGTCACGCGCGCTCCTCTTGGGGTCGGTGGCGGAGAATACGGTGTAGACGAGGACAAAGGTGCCGATGATTTCAGCACCAAGGGCGGTTCCCTTGTTGTAACCGGGGGCCACAGAATTAGCGCCGCCGCCGAGGTGGTTGTAGGGGCTCTTCATGAAAGCTTTCACCAAACCCACGCCGCAGATGGCACCCAAGCACTGCGCCACCATGTACGCCACCGCCCTCACCAGCGACACCTTCCGTGCCAAGAACAACCCGAATGTCACCGCCGGATTTATGTGTCCACCTGACAAATTTTAAAGTACAGGAATAAAGCTTATTATATAATAATACAACTCGTCGGTGAGAAAGGTTCGGTAGCTGAAAATGAAATTGAACCTGAGATTCCGGCGGTGCAGTAGACGAGGATGAAGATCATGCCGCCGAATGCCCAGGCGATGCCGAGGATTCCGACGCCGTCGCACTGGTCGGCGGCGCTGAGCTTCTTGTGTCCGATAACCGTGGCGACGGTGACGTAGAGGAAGAGGAGGGTGGCGATGAACTCGGCGATGAGGGCTCTGTAGAAGGACCAAAGCTTGAGCTCACCCATGTCGAGGAGCGGCGCCGGCGGAGGGTCAACGTAGTCCTTGTGGTGGTGCACCGGTGGTTCTTCGCTCAGTTCCTTCGTCATCTCTGCACTTTAATTTGTTTTCTCTCTCTAAATTTCTTTTTCTTTTTTTCCCGTCAGTGAAGTTGTAGTGTATGCAAGGGTTTATAAGAGTGTAAAGTGCACAATTTTTGGATAAGCAAGGGTATTTTCGGAATTTTATTTTGGGGACCCAATTAAAATGTTTTTTTAATAAATAAATTTGTAATTAAGTAATGAAACTAAATAAGAATAATATTCTTCAATTACAATATATTGTGCATGGGAAATATGTAATATTATTATTAACAGAAAATTAGTCAAAGGTTTCAAAATAATATACTAGTATATTTTTTTAAAGAAAATATTTCATTGGTGAATTTTAATTTATTGAAAAATGAATTTTAATCAACATTGTCTTAAATCCAATCTAATTCACGTCCGTCCGATTTCCACCCGTAACCACATCAAATATTAGCTCTTGATATAAAGAATAACAATATTAGTTAGCATGCAAATTTAGACCGGATGGTCTGTTTTAATATGAAAATCGGATGTTATGGAATGATTGACACGTGGATAGTTTAAATAAAATATAATTAGTATTCTAATAATTGAAAAAAAAAAAAAAAAAAAAACCAGCAAAACCCATAACCTCCCTAACCCTAATTATAATCAACGTGATTTATTGAGAGTTAAGACTTAAAAGTGCCACATGTCAACAAATTAGTGGAATCAGATTTATATTAAATATGGGCTGATCCGGTCAGAATTTAATCTCTATTAGTTAACATAAGCATTATTAACATTAATTACTTAATAGCTTTCTATTTTGTTTTAACATTTTTTTTAAATAGTGAAAATAATAAAAAGGATATATGGATGAGAGAGAGAGAGTAGAGAGAGAAAGTGGGTGGTGGGGAGAAGTAGACAGCTAGTCCATGTGATGGGGATAACCTGTAGGTGATGAGAAGTGGTGCGCTGTGTGCGGGTCCACCGCAGCAAAGCAGCGCCTTCGAAAAAAAAAAAACCCACAACGGCTACATTTTACGTCTACTTTTTCGCTTTTCCAAATTGTTTGCATGTTTTATATGTCCCTTCTTCTGTTTGCTTTTTCCTTGGATGCCTGCCTCCCTTGCTTTTCCTTTTTTTTTTTTTTCACTTTTTTATTTATTTATTTATTTTTACATGACTTGCTCACGTGACTTTGGAGTTGGTGAAGTTAAAAATAAAATAAAATAAATAAGGTGGAAATATTGAGAAAAGTGCTTTTGTTATTTGCTTAAAGCTTCCTCAAATGAAATTTTATATTTCAATGCAAGTAATGAATATGTGTTTTTTTTTTTTTTTTTGGAAGAGATACAAATAGAATGTCATTGTTGTAATTATTAATAGCATAAAATGTAGTTTACAACGATGTCGTTTTTGTTACCTACCAACAATTTTGGGCCTTTGTTGAGATGAACAAAATATGAAAAATGGTAAACAAATCAATGAAAATTTACTTTATAATAAAAAGAATCCATATAAAATAGTTGGGGAGGACCAAGACTATCTGTAACCACAATTATGATAGTAATTAATTTATTAGGTATAATCATTCTCAAATATGCTGTCATCTATCATTTGGCTTTTGCCCTTATCCATCTAATTTAATTCCCTATATATATATATATATATATATATATATATATATATATATTTTAATAAATATTCTATGTGCTTCGAAAACGGTAATTCGCATCTTTAATTATTATAAAGGTGAATAAGCTAAAAAATTTGAGTATTAACGAACAATAAATAAATTTGATTTAATTACACTCTACCTCACATTTTTATTTAGGGTAAATTACACTCACACCCCTGAGGTATGCTTAAATAATTTTAAGGTCCCTGTGGTATCGATAATTACACTCACCCCCCTGAAACGTAGTTAGAAACCCTAACGGGATAATGCATTGGATACATTATTCCGATAGGGTTCTAATGGACTATTACTTTTAGGTAGTGGTGGAGATAACATAGAGTTATGGGGAGTTATGGGGTGACATGGCTCCCCCAATATTTCTTAAATCACCCATAACTCTTTGTTGTCTCTACTACTTCCTGAAACCAATAGTCTGTTAGAACTCTATCGTAATAACTTATCCAATGCATTATCTCATTCGAGTTTATAACTACGTTTCAAGGGGGCGAGTGTAATTATCGATACTACATGAACCTTAAAGTTATGTTAAGCATACCTTAGGGGTGTGGGTGTAATTTACCCTTTTATTTACGATCTTATAATGAGTAAAACTAGGAAATAAGCTCATTATCCAAATACTCTAAAAATTAATCATAAAAATAAGATGTAACAACTTATCAACTCCTAAACATTTTATCAGACGTAAGAATTTATCAGCTGTTTAAAATAAGTTTAGCCAAATACCCTCTAAGTCGCGACGGGATGAAGCTTTTATCAATCGAGTTGGAGAGCAATAACAGCACTTCCAATAGTGGGGATATTAATTATTTCGTGGATAAATCCCATACTTATCTTCATTGTTTAATTTTTTTCTGTATTTGTGACTTTATTTATTAATTATTATTTTATTTATTAAAATGAATTAGAGGGGTGGATAGGAAAAAAAACCATGTGGGAAACAGCTGGCATTGTCACATTTGATAAAGAAATAAAAACTCTATAGAAAATGGACCACTTTTCCCTTTTCATTCTCATCCAATATACATCTAAATCCTAATTAATATTTAATAGTTTAAACATAAATATTTGAAGTTTTAAATCAAATTAAATTCCGAAAATACAGGTACAAAATTCGCCTCAAAATCTGAAATTCGTTCCAATAAATTGAATTTAATAATTCTAAATGTAGAGAATAGGGCCTGCCCACTCCAAACGGGTGCCTAATTGTCTAGCATCTAAAGACTAATAGACTACTCGACAATGAAATGTTTTAAGAAAAGAAATTAAAAAATAAAATGGAATAAATAAATAAAAATAGATGCTAGACCATCCAGGAGTAGACACGTGTAAGGCTTTGTTTCGAGGCTAGATGTTTCCAGAACGAACCAGTAGTAGGTAATTTTTTAATTTTTTAATTTTCAATCAATAATTGTGAAGGTCATATTCGTCTTTATCTTTGGCCTTTGTTTTGTTTTTGTTTTACTCTAAGGTCTTCTAGATGTTTAAGGGGTGAAGATGTATATTAAATATGGGTGTATTAGTATAACTAACTATTATTCGAGCATGAAAGATAAATGCGAGTATTTTTAATATATATACTATGAAGTATGTTTAATATGAGTTTGGTGTTAATTTCATTTATTTCGAAATTACTTAATTAGAACATATATTAAATAATGCATAGAACACATAAGGTGGCAAGTATTTTAATTCCAGCAAAATCTACTTCCACTCTATAATCAATACTGTTAATTGTTGACAACTAAAATTTTCTATTATTGCAATTTCATTGACATGTCTAAATAAAATATGTTAGGTGTTATTTTCAAAGTCCAAATATTAGCTAGACCAAATTGTGACATGTGGTGGAATAGAGTTTGCTAGAATTTGTGATAATCATCATCAAAGGAATGACAAAGCAAATCTGTTGAGATCAATCATATATGATAAATAAATTGAAGTAATATTATTCATTTGTTGTTGATTGGTCACTTCCTAATCACATGATAAATGTCAATTAATTGTTATCAAATCCATTAGGCTGATCTGTAAACAATACCCCACGTCATTTGTATTTTATAGTTTTAACAATTAATATATCAAGGTACTGGAAGTAACTAGAATTCGAGATCAATTTTCGCACAATTGTCATCTTCACGAAGTTTCAAGTGTGCAACAAGATACAGGAAGAAAACAAAAAAAAAAATCATATATTTATTCATGCCATATGGATTCTTTTGGTGTTCTATAATTTGATCAGGGCCCGAGCTGAACAACCCAGAAACTTGATTACTAAAGGCCCACATAAGAGAAACCAAACACTAGATAAAGAGGGACTCTATCACAGTTTTATCCAAGGTTCTAAAAGGCGGTTATCGGGTACGTGGCGGTTTGGGACCGCCACACGATAAATCGGCGCAGCGGTGATTTATCGAAGATAAATCGGAAATATATCGATTTTTAAATTTAGTGTAATATATTTCTAAAAAAATATTTGTAAATACTCAAAATATATATAAAAGAATATTTAAACATAATTCTATCCTATCATTCATATGTTATTATATAATTCTAATTACTCAATAAATAACAAAAATTAAAAAATAATTAGATCATAATATAATAAAAGATTCTTACGAAATACAAATACTACGCAAGTCTTTCGCATCAATAATTAATATAAACACAACAAAGCATAAATTACGGGGTAGTACTTGATTTGGTTTTGGAAGTTGAAAGAATTGGAGAAAAACAAAAAATCAAAACATATTTTCATTTTAATTTAAATTTAAAAAAAAAACAAAAAAAAACCAATTTGTTGACCGATATATCGGTTTGACCCGCCAAAAAACCGCCGCAAACCGCCTCGCCGTAAAAAACCGATATTCCAAACCGCCTCAACAAAATCGTAAAGGTTTATAAACGATACCGATATGGCGGCCGATATATCGACCGCCACGACCGCTATTTAGAACACTGGTTTTATCACTCAAAACGTGCCTATGTCCACCTTGAACAATCAAGCAATGAAGCAATCTAATCAAGCTCAATAATCCAGTACCAAACAGAAAGATACTAATCAACGGTGAAAACAAAATAACGCGCTCCGAAAATCAAAATATAACGATTGACGCAACGAATGTCAAAACATAAGCAAACATGCCACGACTGGAAAAAAAAAGAGGCGAGGTTCGATTTTGCTGAACCAACCAAAACACGAAACTACTACTTAGTCAGAGAACTAGATACTGAATATTTACTACTACCAGAAGTTCGTAACCAGTTACTATTATTAATAAGGGGCACCACAAAAGGAACTGTCATATTATATAGACATGGAAATCGGTGCCCATCTCACTCAAAAGCCCAAGCATTCTCCCTTCGGACCTCCTCTTCCTCCTCAGCGGTGAAGTCATTTTGAATGTTGAATGTCTTGCGTATCTCCTCGGGTGTCTTACCTTTGATCATGTCAGCCACATTTTGACAGGTCAGATCGAGCAAGCTTCTGATGTTCAGATAGTTTGCAGCCTGAAAATAAAAACATAATTAGAAGCCCCATCGGATGAAAACAGCATTACAAATTTAGAACTATTAACGTAAATAATAACTTGGGGAAACCTTACATTTTCATAAAAAAAAGATGCAAAGAAAATGCATAAAGAAGATTTGTTATAATGCAGAACAAGAAAACACGATATAATAAGATGTATTGATATGGTGCAGATAACTCATGTTCAAAGGAGTAAACAGAAACACTTGCATGAAACCTGTGAGCCCTTAGTTTTGCTAGGATCTTCTTAAGTAGCAAAATTTCCCTATTGGAACTAGAGACTAATAAGCATCACCATTATGAGAGGAAAAGTTAATCGAACAAAAGCCATACGACAAACAAATTTCCTTCTGCTAATGAAAACATGAATATCAAAATGTAATTTATAATTTATCCAACATAAGAACCTTGAGAAACAAAGCTAGCATCATATAAGACTAGAGAAGAACAGGAATGGTACAAAAAACTCGTATAACTGCAGAATATATCCAGCTATCAACATTGAAGACATGAATTGTGCCCGTAAAGAATTAATTCCATTTGGCACAGGTGTAGGTTCACAAACTAATCAAGTCAAGCAAAGCATCTGAATGTTCCAGGTTGTCTGAACTACTTCAATCGTAAACCAAATCAACTCAAGTTGTTTGATTTTCCAACACATTTATACTCACCAATCATACAATCTTAACTACTGAAAAAATATAAGCAGACTTAATCTCTTAGATTGGGTAATTAAGTTTGTCAGTCAGCCCAACATGAGCATACTTAGAAACATGCAGAATCCATAACAAGTCGCACAAGTACGAGCAAGCCGAACAAAGAGTAAATTGGAAACTAGAACGTTTGAAAAGCAGAGGGAGACTACCTCCATTCTATACTGCTAAAATTTGAAAACAACATCAAAATAATATAACTAGAAGCATACAAGCCCAGACAAAAACAATATAGAGAAGCAAAGAAAGACAGCAGACGCCCAAAAATCCTCATACAACTACAGAAAACCTCAGAGTTCCTGGAAATACTAAGTTTCCTCAACATTGGTGTTGGTGCAAAAATGACAAACCAATCAAGTGAACTCAATGACCAAGCATGCTCGAAATTTTTCGCGATTCCAAAATTGAGCTCGACCATGATTAATAACCGTGAACCAAACAAACTCTAATAGTTTGATCTTTCTACACATTTATACTTCCATAATTAACAAGCCAAGCATAGAACATTATTGACTGGAAAAAAGTAGGTAGAATTTAACTGTTACATGGGGTAATTAGGTTTGTTATCTACCCCTAGCATCCGTACACATACTAGCATGCAGAATAAATGACAAACAAGCAATAACAACAAAAAATAAATCAAAAACTAGATAATTCCAAAATGAGGATATCCACAATTCCATACAACAGAACAATCAGTGTAGACAAAGGTGTGAAGGAATATAGAGAGGGAAAACGATAAGATTAAAACACACAGAAAAAATGGAAAAATCATTAAAACCCTAGGGACAAAATAGGCAAAGTGAATACGGAGAGAGAGGGGAGATATACCAATATCAAATCAAAAAGCGTAGCCTGATCCACCTTCACGAAATCAGCGTCGTACGACTTGATCTCCTCGTCGGCGGCCGCCTTGTCGGTGGTAGACGCGCCTTCGGCCTCAGACTTCGCGACGGATTCGGCGTGTTTCTTGCAGTACTCGAGAACCCTCGACAGGATCTTCGCGGTGACGTTGGGGAGCGGGATGCAGCTGTCGGCGCAGTTGTCCTCGATCATGTGCTTTATCGTCTGCGACTCGACGGCGACGGACTCTTCCACTTCGAACGTCTCGCCGTCGGAGCTCCTCAGGCAGATCTTCTTCTCAGATGCGGCGTCGATTGTCGACATCGTTTTTTTCTCTCGACTCTGTAATTCGGAAAGCCCTAAACCTGAGAGAGAGAAAATAACTATGAAAGATAAACTGAGCGAAAGTGTGAGCCCATTCGATTGCGAATCTGTATTTATAGAGCCCTAGATATCGAAACGACGACGTTTGTAAATGGTAACTGCGGCCTCCTTTATTTAATTTAACTAAAACTATTTATTATTATAAGTTAATTGGAAATACGGAGAGTCAAGATGACTGCAACAGGCAGAACTATTTATTTGCTTTACTACTAAGTCCTTACTTTTTAGGCTATTTTCGATTATGTCCTTGAACTTATGAAAAATGTCAAAAAATGGACAATTGTTTTTTTTTTTCCCAAATATAAATCCTATTTAAATTTGCTAAAATAGTCAAAATTATTAATGAAGCAACAAAAAGCAACTCTGTATTAATAATAGATTAAAAATAAAAACCCATATACAAATGTCTGAATAATTTCCTCAAATGAAAGATACAAACTATTCAATTTTTTTTTCTTGAAAATTAAAACAGTAATCTGCATGCTTCCTTGAGAGATTATCCAATCTTCACAGCTTCGAGACGGGCAAACCTACAACGATCGTCGTATTTTTAGGACAGTCGATAATAAAAACCATATAATAATTCACACGAAAAATTTGGTTATTGTAATCTGTAAAATGAATTACCTAAAGCTTTTGAATTAACAATGCTGGGGCATGCAGCAGGTGCTGGTGCGTTATCGTTAAGGAACGGGTCGACCCGGTTCGGATCGGACCAAACTGGATATCCTTTTATTTTCCCCTGTGTGAAGAAAAGAAAACGAATATATATATATATATATATATATAGTGTACAAAATATTTATACGAAATGAAATACGGAATTTGAAATAGAGAGTGCAAAGTAATTAGGACTTTCTCATACCAAGACATTTAACGCAGCCAATTTCGCCATTCCTTCACGAGTCCACTGAACAAAAGGCACGGAAAAAAAAATTCAATATATATTTATATATATATATACACATACATCGAAGAAAGTTGCATAAAATTTCAAAAGCTCAAAAATGAAGTAAAAAAGATAAATAAATAAAAGGAGAAAATTACCTTAGAGGCCGAGGCTATGTGAGGCACAATAATAGCGTTCTTCATTTCCGAGAGACCAGGTTTCATGTACGGCTCGTCCTAATTAAATTACAAAAATTCTATTTTTAAACGACATATTTACATTATTATTATTATTTTAGATATTATATTCATGTGTATATATATATATATATATATATATATATATTATGTGATGAGAAAATGTTACCTCAAAGACATCAAGGCCAACTCGAAACATAGGATTTGCCCTCAGATGCTCGACAAGAGCTACCTCATCGACAACGGGTCCCCTGCTGCAGTTTATGAGGATGGCTTCCTGCATGATAATTTGCAAAAATAAAATAAAAAATCATTTTTTTACTAACCTTTTCTCTTAGAAATGTTATTATTATTACCTTCTTCATCTTTGCAAGTCTTTCTTTATTGATGAGATGGTAAGTTGTTTTATCCAGCACTGGATGAAGACTTATCTGCATAATCATTCAATATAATGTATCCTCTCATTTAATTTGAACTCAGTATGTAATTATAATATATATTATAATAAATAATAATTATTATATAAAAAAA